GTGTACAGAGCTGGCAAATATTTCCCTTTGCAGTCTTTGTTTATATTAAAAATCTGAGTCACATAAAATCAGCCTTTTAGCACTATTCTGGTGACCCAATCTCACGTGATCCTGTGCTAAAAATACTGTGCTGGCCAGCAGGATTCATCTGTTTGCTAGGCTACCCTTCTGGAACCAGGACCCCCACACTGGGGCCCAGGATGACTTCATAAATAGGAATCCTGGAGTTCTTTGGGACATCTGCTCAATCCCTTGATAAGGGAGATGATCAGAGAGCACCCTGAAGGAAAGAACAGGGAGTCAGGCTCATGTAGAACCTATTCTGGGCCTAGGGCACCTTAGTTGGACACCACCACCTGCCCTTACCATTCCTGGGGGTCTGACTATTTCTGGCCAGTCCTGAGGGGAGACTTGAGGAGGAAATTTACAAGAAGGTGCTTTAAAGCATGGGTTTCTGTGAAGCATGGGGCTTAGGCCAGGAGCCCTGCTTGCTGCGGGCAGTCCTGCCTGCAGTCTGCTCCCCTCCAATTCCTGGACTGCTGCGGATGATACCACCCAGGAAGGACAGAGGAGAAGACACTGAATAATCTCAGAGAAAGGGCCTCTAGATACTTACATCTGAGAGTCCTGCAACATGGCTGGTTCCCCCTACGATTGCCCTAGAGCAAAGTCCTCCTCTCAATGAAGCCTGGAGCATGCTCTCTGAGTTTCCTATTCAGATATTTACTTCTCTCTTGAATATGAATAGTCAGGGAACATCAGACAGCTGAGGAAAACCTTTCACATGTATGACAGGCACCAAATCAAACAAACTTAAAAAAACCACACGCACACACAGAGGAAACAGACCTAAATCAGAGTACGTGGGAAGAAAAAGCTCTAAAATCCTCAGAGAAATGAGTTATCGCATTCATAAAACAAGTGCAAGATGCAATGAAGAGAAAAGAACAGCCAAATAATAAGAATGAGAGCTTGGAAATTACACATGTGATAGCTGAAATTAAAAACTCAGTAGAAGGTTTGGAAGATAAGGTCAATGAAATCAACCAGGAAGTAGAACAAAAAAGACAGCAGATGGAGCTGGACACAGTGGCTCACGCCTATAATCCCAGCACTTTAGGAGGCTGAGGCGGGCGGATCATCTGAGTTCAGGAGTTCGAGACCAGCCTGGCCAATGTGGTGAAACCCTGTCTCCCTAAAAATACAAAAATTAACCAGGTGTGGTGGCATGTGCCTATAATTCCAGCTACTCGGGAGGAATTGCTTGAACCTGGGAGGTGGAGGTTACAGTGAGCCAAAATTGTGCCACTGCACTCCAGTCTGGGTGACAGTGAGACGCTGTCTCAAAAAAAGAAGAAGAAGGAAAAAAAGACAACAGATGGAAAGCAAGAGAGGAAAACGATAAGGCAGTTAGAAGATCAACTCAAGAAAACCATTATTTGACAAATAGGAGCTCTATAAGGAAAAACAAGAATTGAGAAGAGAAGAAATTATCAAAGAAATCCTAAGCAAAGATGAATTAGACTGGAAAGATAAGAAGCTACAGACTGAAAGTACCCCCAAGTGTCCAACACAATCAGTGCAAGAAAATCCACACCAAGGCACATCATATTAAAAAGTTCAGAACGTCGGTGTTAAAGAGACCCCAGGGGCTTCCAGAGAGAAAAATAAATGCCTTGTGCAGAAGAATGAGAATCAGAGTGGTAGTTCTGGATGATAGAAGACAAAGAAGTCTTTAAAATTCTGCAGGAAAATTATTTTTAATCAAATTCTGTGCTCAGCTAAATTGGTAGTTACATGTAAATGTGGCATATAGACATTTTCAGACAAGACTCAGAAAGTGTCTCTATGCATTCTTAGCTGAGAAGTGCTAAATGTTGCTGCAAAATGGCGGAGTGTTCAAAAAAGAAGCAGGGGCTCCAACTCAAGGAAGGTTGAGAGGTGTGTCGTTGGTGGGTGGATGGAGAGGAGCCTTAGGTGGTAACCAGTGCAGATGGGAGAAAAAAAGATGGCACCCGGGGTGGCGTGTCCCTTGGAAAAATAACTTTTGTATTGTCTGTTATAAGAAAAAGCACTTGTTAAACACAGAGAATGACTTACTACATCTGGGAAAATTTTGGGAAAATTCAATATTCAGCTTCGAGATGTATTAACTCAGGAAAAACCGGAAAAAAAGGACTGGAAAGAAAAGGCTTCCATACCTAGCATATTTTACTGAATTTAAGTTACCATTAATAGCAAAACATATCATTATTTAAGAGGAAAAAATTGTTGCTTATTAAAAAGCAAGCTGTAAGTTGTAAAATACATCCAAATTTCAGAGATGTTACAAAGTTAAAAAAATGTACTTTTTGGAATTGATGAAAATAGCATGCTGTTTGGCTTTGCAGCAAACTATTTTGATGCTGATTATTGATTTAACCACAAATTATGAGGCAAATTTATTGTGAGGCTGAGGAGACAAAAAATAGGGAGTATGGGTGTTCACCTGTGGGAAATGTAAGTGCTAAATATGCATGTGCCAAAAAAAGAAAGGCAAGATTTAACATCTAGATTGATAAATTGATAAATCAAGGATTAGCAGCATTAATCAGACATATGGACGTAGCCCAACAAAGGAACAGCTAACATAGTTGAAAATGGTGGCCTCCAGCATTGGTTTAAGGTTGGTTGGATTGGGTTCTGGTGAAGTTATTTAGAGACTGCTGATTTTCATTAGCAGCCTGTGGTCCATAATGCACATTTAGCACATACATATTACTTTGATGTAAACAAAGGTAGAAGAAAATACACACAGACACAACCTTTTTAGAGCTCAGGAGTGGGACAGAAATGGGAGATTTAGGGCCCCCAAATCTACTCTCTCTTTAAGATACTTTATCCAGACTTAAGGTTAAGACATAATCATACCCTGCTTCACTGGCTTTCAGGAAGAGACCAGGCGCCCCTCACTGTGTCCTTCCTCCCTCTTCCTACAAAATGAAAGTACACCTAAGGATGGCACGGGGTCCTCTTTTCCTTTCTCTTTTTTTTTTTTTTTTTTTTTTACAAGATGGAGTCTTGCACTGTCACCCAGGCTGGAGTGCAATGGTGCAATCTCAGCTCACTGCAACCTCCACCTCTCAGGTTCAAGCGATTCTCCTGCCTCAGACTCCTGAGTGGCTCAGATTACAGGTGCACGCCACCATGCCCGGCTAATTTTTGTACTTTTGTATTTTTTGTGTTTTTGTATTTCTTAGTAGAGACGGGGTTTCACCATGTTGGCCAACTGGTCTCAAACTCCTGACCTCAGGTGATCCGCCCGCTTTGGCCTCCTGAAGTGCTGGGGTTACAGGCGTGAGCCACCGCGCCCAGCCAGGATGGCACAGAGTCCTCTTACCTCTGCAGTAAGATGTGGAGTTAACATATTGTTCCACATTTCTTTCTTTCTTTCCTTTCGCTCCTTCTTTCCTTCTTTCTTTCTTCCTTCCTTTCTTTCCTTTCTTCCTTCCTTTCTTCCTTTCCGTCCTTTCCGTCCTTTCCTTCCTTTCCTTCCTTCCTTCCTTCCTTCCCAGGCTGGAGTGCAGTGGCACGATTTCGGCTCACTGCAACCTCTGCCTCCTGGGTTCAAGCCATTCTTGTGCCTCCTGAGTTAACTGGATCTTGTTTTTTCTGTTTTTTTGTTTGTTTGTTTGTTTGAGACCGAGTTTTGCTCTTGTTGCCCAGGCTGGAGTTCAATGGCACGATCTCAGCTCACCGCAACCTCCTCCTCCCAGGTTCAAGCGATTCTCCTACCTCAGCCTCCCTAGTAGCTAGGATTACAAGCAAGTGCCACTACGCCCGGCTAATTTTGTATTTTTAGTAGAGATGGGGTTTCTCCATGTTGGTCAGGCTGGTCTCGAACTCCTGACCTCAGGTGATCCGCCCGCCTCAGCCTCCCAAAGTGCTGGGATTACAGGCGTGAGCCACCGCGCCCAGCCTTTTTTTTTTTTCTTTTTTAACTTTTATTTTAGATTCCAGAGGTGCATGTGCAGGTTTGTTACAACGGTATGTTGTGTGATGCTGAAGTATGGGTTATGATTGAACTCATGACCCAGGTAGTGAGCATAGTACCCAATAGGCACTTTTTCAGTCATTCCCCCTCTCCCTCTCTCCCACTTACAGTAATCCCCAGTGTCTGTCATTCCCATCTTTATGTCCATGAGTACCCAGTGTTTAGCTTCCACTTATAAGTGAGAACATGCAGTGTTTGGTTTTCTGTTTCTGTGTTCTTTCACTTACTATAGCGGCCTCCAGATGCATCTATGTTACTGCAGAGGACGTGACTTCATTCTGTTTTATGGCTGTGTAGTATTCTGTGGCATTCCACCTGTTTCAACCCATTTTCTCCTCACCACCACCTTGTCAGTTAGTTGGCATGATCACCACCACTTTATTACTAAAACACCAGGGTTCCATCCAGGTCCTGCTGTTTGCGGCACAGAAAGTCAGTCACCTAGATGATGAGTATTGCCCAGGAAGAAGGCTTTAATTGGGTGCTGCAGCACAGGAGATGGGAGCTCAGCCTCAAATCCATCTCTATCTTCCTAACTGACTAAAACTAGGGGTTTATGTAGCAGGTAAGAAATGTAGCAATGTGTATGAAAACAGGAAGTAGGGAGGAGCTAGGAAGCAATCATCTCATTGTGGGGTCAGGCATCTCATAGTCTGGTTGTGGTGATCTGGTGAGTTTCAGTAATTTGATACTTTTTGAGAGGCCTGAGGGATCCTTTCCTGAGGAAGCAATTCAAATAAAACAAATAGAAGTTTCAAGCTTTAAGAGGGACAATTTATGTGTTTATCCAAAACAACTGTCTATGGGACTACTGGGTAATTTCAATTTCATACACGTAGGGACTGAGGCTGGAGAGGCCACTGGTGCACTCTCAGCCTCACCCACTGCAGAATCCCAGAGGTATTTCTTTCTTGTTTTTCTGAAATGTTGTGTCATCTCGTGTTGTTCTGTCCCCATGACATTTCAGAGGAAAGAGGAAGAGGAGAGGAAGCGAGGAGAAGAGCAGATTCGCCTCCAGGAAGAGCAGAGGGCAAAGGAGCTCTACTGGACCCTGAAGCAGGCTCAGCTGCATTGCCAAGCCAGTGAGAAAGAGGAGCGAGAGTGGGAAGAACAGTGTGAGTAGAGCTTGTGCCTCAGGCAGGGAGACCAGTCGTGCCTCCCCACCCACCTCCTCCCACTGCTGATTTGCTCAGTCGTCATTTCTGTTCACTCAGCCACCCCATCGGCATTTACTCAGGCCCAGCTGTGTGCTCAGTCCTGCTAAGAATTTAGAGGGTAAGTTAGGCTTCATCCTTGAAGAGCTTACCTGCCTGTTGGGGATATTTCTTTTTTTGTTGTTGTTGTTCTTTTTTGAGACAGAGTCTTGCCCTGTCACCCAGGCTGGAGTGCAATGGTGAGATCTTGGCTCACTGCAAGTTCCACCTCCCAGGTTCAAGTGATTCTCCTGCCTCAGCCTCCTGAGTAGCTGGGATTCCAGGCGCCCGCCACCATGCCCAGCTAATTTTCATATTTTTAGCAGAGACGGGGTTTCACCAGTCTCTACTGGTGACCAGGCTGATCTCAAACTCCTGACCTCAGGTGATCCACCCACCTTGGCCTCCCAAAGTATTGGGATTACAAGCGTGAGTCGCCATGCCCAGCCAGGGATATTGCTTGTATTAAAAAAATAAAAGCCTAGCCTGGGCAATATGAGACCCTGTCACTACAAAAAAATAAAAAGTATTAGCTGGGCATGGTGGTGGCATGCACCTGTAGTCCTGGCTACTCGGGAGGCTAAGGTGGGAGGATTGCTTGAGCCCAGGAGGTCGAGGCTGCAGTGAGCCATGATTGTGCCACAGCACTGCAGCCTGGGTAACAGGGTGTGACCTTGTCGCATATTCTACCTTTACTGAGCTGCCAATCATTTCCTGGCTCTGTGCTAAGCCCTGGGGATCCAGGCATGAAGAATAACAGTCCTCTTCCTGTAGAAACTCATCAAGAAGAGCAGCAGACAGATACATAGACTAAGGGCTTGGAGGGAGGATGTGGCACATATAATGTGGTTGTCCTAGTGGGTCTCCAGAAGAGGTGTCATGAAGTGAGGCTTGCTGGTGACACAGGAATAAGCCAATCAAAAAGGCTGGGAAGGGGGCTTAGGTGGAGGCTCCCGCATGGGCAAAGGCTTGGTGACAAAGGAACATGTCATGCCTAGGAAGTGTGGGGTGGTGAGAGTTTGGGGAGTGTCAGGTTGGTGAGAAACTAGGTGGGAAAGGGGAGGTGGAGCTAAGTTTGGAGGGCGGTGCTTACATGCCTGGGATTTGTTTTATTTGGGTATGGTAAGACATGCAGGCCCAGAAATGAGGCGTGTAAAGGAAAATGTTTTTACTCACAGGTCCCTAGAGACGGGAGACATGGCAGGCCATGCAGGGCTACATGGGGAAGCCCCAGGGTGGGTCAGGAGGCAGAGGGAGTGGGGGAAAACACGGGCAAAAACATAGGCAAGAGTGTTTATTGTGATTTCCTGGGGAAGGGTAAGGAGAGGCAGGCTAGGCAGGCTTAGGATTGGCCAGTGTAAATAACTAAAGTGAGCTCTAGGGTGTAGGGGCTATCTCTAGTTTTGCATCATCTGGCTGTGGGGTGATTAAGGCAGGGAGACAGTGGCTCAGAGTGCTAAAGCCCAACAAGGGAGGTAGTTGTGGGATGGGCTTCCGATTGAATGGTTTGCATATGAAGGTGCACTTGCAGGCAAGCCCTTTACTGTCCCTAGGAATTGGCTATTCCTGGGAGGGGCAATCTCTCCAGAATCAGAAAGGCCTCAGAGGTCAAAAAATCAGAAAATACAGAAAATGAAAAGGCATGATTAATACACGTGGACAGTGGGAAACTCCCAAAGGTGAGTGACATGATCTGGCAAGGTTTTGGGAAGAGAGCAAGGAGGCTGTTGTGATGGTACACTTGAGTGATGATTGCAACTGGGGCCATACGGGGAGAGCAGAGACGTGAGGTGTCTTCTACTGGCCAGCCTTCTAGTCCTATCTTATGCCAGATTCATTAAATAGACTTGAAAATGGAGATACAACTTACATACCATAAAATTTAGCCTTTTAAAGTGTACAATTTAGTGGTTTTTAGTATACTCAAAAAGTTGTGCAATCATTGCCAGTATCTTAATTCCAGAATATTTCTATTACTTCAAAAAGAAACTCTGTATCGATTAGCAGTTACTCCTCCCCCTACCATATCCCTGGAAGTTACTCATCAATTTCTGTCTCTAGATTTGCCTATGATAGACATTTTATATAAATAGCATCATGCATTATGTGGCTTTTGATGTCTGACTTCACTTAGCGCAATGTTTTCAAGGTCCATTCATGTTGTAGCAGATATCATTCCTTCCTTCCTTTTTATGATTAATAATATAATATTCTAATGTACGCATATACCACATTGTTGTTCATCCACTTAACAGTTGATGAACATTTGGGTTGTTTTCACTTTTTGGCTATTTTGAATAATGTTGCTATGAACATTTGTGTACAAGTTTTTGTGTGAACATATACTTTCAATTCTCTTGAGTATTACCTGTATGCCTAGGAGTGGAATTTCTGGGTCATATGGTATCTTAATCTTCTATTTCTATAACTGAATATCTGAGACTGAGTGACTTACAAAGAAAATAAATTTATTTCTTATGGTTCTGGAGGCTGGGAAGTCCGAGGTTGAGGGGCTGCATCTGGTAAGGGCCTTCTTGCTAGTGGCTACTCTTTAGAGTCCTGAGGCAGTGGAGGGCATCACATGGAGATGGAAGGTACACTAACAGCCAAACTGGCTTTTTTTTTCGAGTCAGAGTCTTGCTCTGTCGCCCAGACTGGAGTGCAGTGGGGTGATCTCAACTCATTGCAACCTCTCTCTCCCAGGCTCAAGAGATTCTCCTGCCTCAGCCTCCCTAGTAGCTGGGATTACAGGTGGGTGCCACCACACCTGGCTAATTTATGTAATTTTAGTAGAGACAGGGTTTCATCATGTTGGTCAGACTGGTCTGGAACTCCTGACCTCAGGTGATCCACCTGCCTCGGCCTCCCTAAAGTGCTGGGATTACAGGTGTAAGCCACCATGCCCGGCCCAAACCGGCTTTTATACAGGCCTGCTCTCTTGATAGCTAACCAACTCCCATGATAACCCATTAACCCATTAATACATTAATCCATGAAAGGATTAATCCATTCTTGAAGGCAGAGTCCTCATGATCCAATCATCTCTTAAAGGTCTCACCTCTTAACTGCCACACTGTTTTCCAAAGTGACTGCACCATTTTATATTCTTACCAGCAATGTATGAGGGATCTAATTCCTTGGCATCCTTGACAACCCTTGTAATCTTTTGTGTTTTTTATTATGAAAGCCTTTCTAGTGTATGTGAAGTGACATCTCATTGTGGTTTTGATTTGCATTTCCCTAATGACTAATGATGAACATTTAAAAAATGTGCTTTATGGCTGTTTATATATCATCTTTGGAGAAATGTCTATTCCAATTCTTTACCCATTTTTGAATTTTTGTTGTTGAGTTGCAAGAGTTCATTGTATATTTTGGATATTAATTTCTTATCAGAGATATGGTTTACAAATATTTTCTCCTATTCTTTGGGTTTTCTTTTCACTTTCTAGATAGTCCTTTGAAGCACAAAAAATTTTAATTTTGATGAAGTTTAATTTATCCATTTTTTTGGTTGTTTATGATTTGTGTCTTATCTAAGAAACCATTGCCTAATCCAAGGAAGGTCACACTGGCTTACACCTCTCTTTGTTCTAAGAGATTTATAGTTCTAGCCCTTACATTTAGGTCTTTGATCCATTTTGAGTTAATTTTTGTGTGAGGTAGGGTTCCTACTTAATTTTTTTTTCATATGACCATCCAAGTTGTCCAAGCACCATCTGTTGAAAAGACTATTCTTTCTCCATTGGATGGTATTGGAACTCTTGTTGAAAATCAATTCACCAAAAATATGTCTGTCTCTGTACTCTCTATCTCTCTCTCTTTTTTTTTTTTTTTTTTTTTTTGAGGCGGGGTCTCACTCTGTCACCCAGGCTGAAGTAGTATGATCTCAGCTCACTGCAACCTCTGCCTCATGGGCTCAAATGTCTGTCCTCCCACTTCAGCCTCCCGAGTAGCTGGACCACAGGCATGCACCACCATGCCTGAGTTTTTTTTTTTTTTTCGTATTTTTATTAGAGATAGAGTCTTGCCATGTTGCCCAGTCTGGTCTCGAACTCCTGAGCTCAAGCAATCTGCCTGCCTTGGCCTCCCTAAGTGCTGGCATTACAGGCGTCAGTCACCGTGCCTGGCCTGTTTCTGTACTCTCAATTCTGTTCCATTGATTTATATGTCTGTTTCTTATGCCAGTATGACATAGTCTTGATTACTGTAGCTTTGTTGTACATTTTGAAATTGGGCAGTATTAGACCTCCGTGTTTGTTCTTTTTCACGATTATTTTGGTTATTCTGAGTCCTTTGTATTTCCACTTCCATTTTAGAATCAGCTTGTCAATTGTTGCAATAAAGGTAGCTGGAATTTGGATAGTGATTACGTTAAATCTGTAGACCAATTTGGAGAATATTGCCATCTTAACAATATGCAGTCTTCCAATTCATGATCACAGAATGTCTTTCCATTTATCCAAGTCTTTAAAAATTTATTTATTTATTTATTTATTTATTTATTTTGAGACCGACTCTCGCTTTGTTGCACAGGCTGGAGTCCAGTGCTGCAATCTCGGCTCACTGCAAGGTCCGCCTCCCGGGTTCACGCCATTCTCCTGCCTCAGCCTCCCGAGTAGCTGGGACTACAGGCACCCACCACCACGTCCAGTTAATTTTTTTGCATTTTTAATAGAGACTGGGTTTCACTGTGTTAGCCAGGATGGTCTCGATCTCCTGACCTCATGATCCCGCCTCGGCCTCCGAAAGTGCTGGGATTACAGGCGTGAGCCACCACGCCTGGTGTAAAAATTGTTTTCAATAATATTTTATGGTTTTCAGTGTAGAAGCCTTGCCTTTGTTTTGCTAAGTTTATTCCTAATTGCATATTCTTTCTGATGCTGTTGTAAATAGAATAGTTTTCTTAGTTTCATTTTTGG